GCTCCTAAGGATTTAGAAAGAGGATGACTGTTGGCTGCTCAGGTAGGGTTACTTTGCAGGTAGGCACCTGGTATGGTCAGCTCTGGCTTTCTCTCTGTCTTCTCGCTACAACAGGTTTAAATAATATAGTATCAAGGTAATCATAAGTCTTGTGATATATATAACATTTGTATCAATGTAACTGTAAGTCTTGTGATTTGTATAACTTTTGCGTATAACAACAGACAGTAATATATGATGTCTTAGGCTTTGTTAACTCCCTTCACACTATGACAAGCTTGATTAAATTTGCTGCCTGATATAACTGATGAAAGCTGTGAAATACCTCTGATAACTGGTGCCAAAAAATGCAGACCACAAATGTCATTAACAAAATACAGCTGTAACTTGAACTGTATACAATGCTCTCATAGTCATGTAGTCAATGTATAGGTGTACCAACATCCCTAAACTTACAGAAGTGGCCTATAAATCCTGAAGGGTGAGGAAAACCATTTAAAGAGGTCAAAAGTCTGGATCTGCTCTCTGGATTCAAATTCAAAAATAAACCTCTTTCTACCAGTTCCCTGTCCCTGTAATTTATTGGAATCAAAGGAGAGCAGCCATATTACTTGGACATAACATTTATATTTCTCTTTAAGGAGGAGAGAGGATACAGGAAAAGGAAGGAGCAATAAGGCAAATAGTTATGTTCTTGTGAGACTCTAATTACTGCTCAGTAAGTCTATGTTTTACATAAGATAAAGTGAACATTTGGAGGAGAGTAAAGGAAAGAGTCAATTATGTGATTGTCTCAGTGTAGGTGAAGCAGTGATTGATCTCATCTTGTCCTGGTTCTACATCTAGGAAGATAAGCTTGTAATGAACATTGTCAGTGTGAAATTTACAGAACTAAGTTTTAGGAGTTAAACATAAGTTGCAGACTTAAGTTCACAATTGATATGCACTTGTTTTATTGGACATGTATTTTGCAAGTTTTAGGGGTCAGAAAAGAATTTTCTTGTGAGCAATTTGTGAGGGCAGCCATCTGGAGAGGCATGAGACTTTTTGTCTTTGTGGAGGCCTGGCTTATGTATAATGCTTTAACACAAGGTTATGAAGTAACAGAATCTGTTTGAGAAAAAGAATGATAGTGTTAAGACTCAGTTCCCAGGCTTAATTCTACCCTTGGCATAATGAGTTCGGGGGTCCTGAGATTCTTATTTCCTTTCACAGAAGTATGCACGGTCCTGTAGAAATCTGATTGGACCAGAAAGGGTAGGATGTAATGCTAATAGACTGAGTGGAGAAATCCAGCAAGACATGTTTGTTTGGATTTTTCTTGTCTTATCTAAGCATGCATTCCTTCCTTTTGGGTATGGGTCAGGACTCTCTCTGGAGTGGGGGAGGGTGTCTTATAACCTGCAGTTAAATAAGGTAAGTCAGATAATTTTTGACTATAAAAGGCCAATTTTAACACAGAAAGGTAGTGGGGGCTGGTGGGGGATGGTAAAATAATGTTTTTAGTTTTTATGGCTGGCATTGGGGAAAAGGGATTCTGGTTTCTCTGACCTGCCTAGGAAAGGAATGAGACTGAGAGATAAGAGGGCAGGAAAGATCAGAAAAAATTGTTTTGCTTTGAAACTGCTTCTGAGGCCCTCATTTTGGTGTATCATTTTCAGAGCGTATACCTTTTTTGGGCGGGGGAGGCATAAGAATTATTTTGAGCTAATTCTTTAGATAAACTGCACACAGGAGAAGCTCTAAAAACAGTATGTCACTCATTTGTAAGGGACAATTACCTATATAAAAGGAAATCTCCATTGTAAGGGTATCTTGCTCTCTGGACCAGGAGGAGATGACTAAATCAGTAGAGTTCTTTTATCAGTGAACAGAGCACTGATTTAAATTTGCATTAAAAACCTTATCATCCCTTTCTTGGTCACAATAACTGGTCTCCCCAACAGCCCCCTCCCCCCACTTTCTTTCTTTCTTTTTTTTATTCCAGTTGGAGATGGTATTTAAGCCTGAATTTTTAGCCTCCTCCATGAGATTTACTCATTTTTCTGGGTATCTCTCACATATTTATATGAAATAACCATGTTAATAAATGTGTGTGTGTTTTCTTCTGTTACTCTTCTATTATATAGGGTCCTAGTTAAGAACTCAGAAATGGCAGAGGAAAACAGGTTTTATTTTGTTTTTTGTTTTCTCTACACATACATAATAGTTTAAAAAAATTGCAAAAGCAGTTAGGGCAGGGCATTAGGCAAAACAGGGAAGGAGTGTCAGAACTAAAAACTTTGTATATTGGAGTGCACACATGAGTTTTGAGAGTTGGGGAAATAAGTAATTCAAAATCTAAGCTGCTAGAATTTTACTTTGAGCCTTAAAAGAATGTGATTGTGGGGCCTGAGTCACATGACAGGCATCTACTACATTTGTATCTGATTATAGATTAGTCTTCTACACTGTCATTGAAAATGCTGTAAAAGACTAAAGAACACAAAGGAAGACACTTTTTCTCTTCAGTGTTGATCTTTATTATAGACTAACTTCCCTCTTTCTTGTCTCACATCTTTGTCTTTACTTCATGACTACCACACTAAGATGAAATGTCAAGCATACTCTTTTAAATTGGAAAGGAAATAAAAACAGGCTATAACCAATCAAATTGTGGTAACTCATAAGCCATCCTTGTACAAAAAGATGTTACCAAATTTGTTTTCTGCCCATATAAGCAAGACCTTAACTTTCTTTTTTTTTAAAATCCAAAATGTGTTTATTGGGATGGTTTCCCGTTCATCTTGATTGCGGTGCTTTTAGTGCTGCTTCCGCCTGAAGGAACATCCTTCTGTGAACCTTGTTTTTCCTCCTATATAGTCTGACAGAGGACATTAGAGAGCAACCAACACACAACTACAGTTTGTGCATGGCTGAAGACCGTGGTGATTTTATAGCATTCTGAGCATTTCATGTCCATGAAGTAGGAGTTGGGGCTCTGCACCAGGTGCTTCTTCTTGTGTTTCATCTTCTCCTCCTCTGGAGAGGGATGAAGGAGCTCCTTTGTGAGAGGCATGTTCTCATGGGTAAGTCATAACCGCCGGAAAGGCAAGACCTTAACTTTTAACTTTGAAGTATTGATCTCATTTCTCTGGACTCTGTGTTTCCCTGATAGCTATTCCCAGTTTTTACTGGAATAACATATCTACAATTCCATTCTTATCCTTTTGATTATTTCAGGTCAACAGAGTTTCGGAGACCCCTTTATCAGTCTCTGTGATAAAGGAGTTTTACAAATCAGGTTTAAAACAACCATGAGCGAAGTATGTGGCAGAGTAAAACTCAGGAAAAGAGAGGCAAAATGAAGAGGTCAGGAAGGGCAGTGAATTCCATATCTTCAAAGTTCTTTAATCGGTCTTAATGATGTGGCAGGAGAGGGGTTGGTAGCAGTTAAAGGTATTTCCTTTTGAAAGCCAAGTGGCAAGCTCTAAAGACCCACCAGGCCGGTTTTAGTTTGAAAAAGGCCAAATGGCTAGAGACTGGTGGCTTTCATGGAAATGCAAAAGAGTAACTAATTCACAGACTTATCCAAAACCCCTCTTCTTTTTTTTTTTTGAGTTGGAGTCTCACTCTGTCACCCAGACTGGAGTGCAGTGGCCGCTCCCGGCCACCGCAACCTCGCCTGCTGGGCTCCAGCGATCCTTCCGCCTCAGCCTTCCAAGTAGCTGGAATTACAGGCATGCGCTACCACGCCCGGCTGATTTTTTGATTTATTGTAGAGATGAGGTCTCGCTGCCCTGGCGGGTCTCGAACCCGCGGGCTCAGGCAATCCACTCACCTCAGCCTCTCAAAGGCGCGGGATTACAGGCTGAGCCACCGAGCCCGGCTAAAACCCCTCTTCTTAAATTGAGGGTTTACAACCCTGCTGTTCCTGGAAACCATTTGTTCTTTGAAAGATCTGATTTTTCTGAACACCACCTTGTAAATTCCAAAGGAGATGTGTAATCGCTCAACACGACCTCCCTCCCTTACCTAAATGAAGGTATAAGACCCCACTTCTCCCATTCTGCAGGGCTCGATTTGGACACATTAGCCCCTCGAACCTGCTGGGCTGGCCAATGTAATAAAGTTGCCACTTCCTGTAATAGTCTCGGTGTCACAATCTGTCTTCCCGCTACATTAATAGCACAGAGAGGCATTAGAAGTTTAAAGATGCTCTAAGGATAACAGCAGGGTTGATGATTACTCTGACGTGGGAACAAGGAAGAAGGAAAGCTCCATGTTTCCATGTCTCACACTTAAGGTTCTGACCCAGCAAAGGACAATTAAGTAGAAGAAAAAGACTGAGAAAAATAATTTCATGCAGAGGAAAAGACTCTAAAGAGCTAGTGTTTTGAATTAAGGTGTGTGTGTGTGTTGGGGACAGAAGATATTAGAATTAGAAGTAGTACTAATAACTAAACTATTTCTGAACAAAAAACAAGAAAAAATAAATTAAAAAGATGCAAGACACAAACTATAAATCAATTTCAAAGATTAAGCAAAACAAATAAAACAAAAGCAAGTGCCAAGGAGATAAATAGGTGGCATATCTGACTAAAATATTAACAGTTTTGAAGAGGATAGAGCCCAACACTTTAAAGCAAGAACTTTAAGAAACTGCCAATGAGACAACAGTGGGCCAGCAAGCAACCCTCAGAACATTGAAAAAAGTACACCTTATTTATTCATTTTATTAAGAGAAAAAGGGGATTATGTGGAAATGAAAACACTGCCAACATTCTCTTTGAAAAAGTACATCTCTCCTAAAGAGAAAAAAAAAAATACACAATTATTTATCTCAATTAACCAACAATGATTTATTGCATAAATAGTATTAATTAGCATTATTGTTTGTTAAGGAAAACAAAAAAATAAAGTATTTTTAAAGTGCTTAATTTAAATGAACAAGATTCCATGCAGGGAGAAACAAAGTGTCTGATTTAACAAAGTAATTCCCAAGTACTTACACCTCTGAAAAGCATAGTTGCCAATGTTGTAGGAGCAGAAAGCTGTGATCCCTTTCCTCATTTATCATCAGGGTCATAGTCTACACTCCTATAAAAAAAAAGACAGAGAAAAGTATAACGAGAAAAGTATAACATTTATTTAGTCTAAGCTTTATGCAACACGAGAACCTCCAGAAATGAAGACCCAGGGAAAACCATCTATTGCCATGCTTACATCCAGTGAAAAGTAGACAGTCAAGTAAAAATGTGATTAGGCAAAAACAGTATGATCTGTTGTAATAGACTGATTGAGGAAACCTAGCAGAGCCTGCCTGTCCAGATACTTCTTGGCCTTTCTGGGTAGCATTCCTTCCTCCAGAGGAGGGGGCAGGAGTTCTCTCTAATGACGATCTTCAAGGGAAAAAGGAGTGACCTTTCTAGATTTTCTTGCTTTGGTTATGAGGAGGTCTAGTTTCTATGATCTGTCTTTGGGAAGAGGAATTCTGGTTTTTATTACTAGATTCAGGGGAGAATAGTGGCAGGATACAGAAGAGGAGGTGGTCAGAAAGACCTTGCTTCAGAGGTCCTTCCTCCTTTAGTTCAAAATACTTAGCATGCCAAGGTGCCATGCATTGGACTCAGGATCTGAGCCCCCAAAATGTAATTATTCCAAGAGCAAAGAAATGCCAAGGCAATCAAACCAGAGATCTTTCAGACGATGTTACATAGGGGACCTAGGGGACCAGAATTCTATTCCCAACATATGCCACTTGGGTGTAAGGAGTATTTTGAGCTGATTATTTTGAGAAACATCAAAGCACTGAAAACAGAAGTGTCTCTTATGTAAAGACTAAGAAAAAAAAAAACAAACCCAAAAAACACTTGCATTTAGAAAGGAAATTTACCCTTGTAAATATGTCCACCTTGGTTATATTAGAAAAGAAAAATGACTTGAATCTGCATAACAGACTTTACTAGTTAATCTTTATCTTTTATTAGTCTACTCTATATGTTTTTCTTCCCACAATTTATCCCCCCCCCAAAAAGTCCGCCCCTCTTTAAAATAACATATAAGGCCCCAGGTCTATGCATCTCTTTGAGCCTTTACTCCCATTCTGTAACGGTTCCCATGCACATATGTAACAAATATTTTCTCCCTGTTAGTCTGTCTTTGTCAGCTTAACTAGTAGGACCCAGTCATTAAGCCAAAGGGGGAAAAAAGTTTATTCTACAGTTTCCTTCACCAAAGTGACACTCATAAGGTTTCTCAATTAACCAACAATGATTTATATATGTAATACATTCAAGAACAATTGCTGTTTAACAAGGTAGAATGTTGCCTAGTTTATTTTTTTTCTTATAGTTGGCGGGGGATGAAGATTGGTGAGATTAGTCCACCAGAAGATACAGAGTTTACATCTTCAAGGTTAAGCACGTGGATTCCATTTATAAACAGGGAGAGAGAAAAAGGTATCCTAGAAGCTCAATGAGAAATGGATTAAACAGAACTCGAGTATGGGATGTTTTGCATGCACAGTAATTACAATGCACTTGGAGACACTGATTCCTAGAATAAAATTAGATATTTATTCAAAGAGCAAATAATCAATCATTTTTAAACATAAAAGGTGAACATGCTCAGAAAAGAGAAGGTAATCATCCGCCAGAGAAAACTATCAATGTTTCATGGGAGAAGCAGAATCTGATAGTTGGAAGACAAGGCAGGGCCAGAGGAAGGGGAGTCACAGGAGCCACCCAACATTCTGCCGTTGATTGTCTTTCCTAGAATAAATTCATCCCTGGTCTCTGCCCTCTGCACTACACTTGCAAAATGAAAAGACAGGATTTCTGGGTGTAATTGATCTCCTAATTCAACAAAGAGAGAAACCGGAGGGGATTCTAGAAATATTTTCACTCGTTCGGACTCTCTGTAAGAAAATGGAGGTGAAAAGCCGCCTCTCTTCCTCGAACAACTTTGTTTCTAAGCGGAGTGAAAAAAAATTACAACGTCGGTTCTCCCCCAAAAATGTGTCGGCGAAAGAGGAAAAGGAAAGGAACAGAAAGGAAGGAGACAGAGTAAAAGGCAAGGAAAAGGGTAGAGAACCAAATCAGAGGAAGGTGAGGTACCCCACGTTGAAGTTATAGTCAGGCGCCCTTTGTTGCAGTCACTCCTCAGGATGGGCAATTTCACAAATGACTGAGATCACCATTCCTGAGATGGGCTGCTCTATTTCAGTAGTCACAAGGCACTGGAGCAATTAATGCTAAGGAGTGACCGAGAAAAAACAGACTGCAAGGACCCAGACAATTGAAAGCCCTTGCAGCAAAGGGCACCGCAAAACGTTTTAGAATCTGAAGTTTAAGTACCGCCCTTCACATTTTTTTCTTAAAGTCGTGGGTGGGGCTTCAAGTCTGGAAACTAAGCGGATACAGCTGGTGTGAAGAGTGCTCAATCAGGTCCGCCTTCCCCCTATATAAACTTAACGCCTCTAAGACTCGGCACACTGTGCTTCTTTCGACCGCTGATATGTCTGGCCGCGGCAAGGGCGGGAAGGGTCTCGGCAAAGGCGGCGCCAAGCGCCACCGCAAGGTCCTGCGCGACAACATCCAGGGCATCACCAAGCCCGCCATCCGGCGCCTGGCCCGCCGCGGCGGAGTCAAGCGCATCTCCGGCCTCATCTACGAGGAGACCCGCGGGGTGCTCAAGGTGTTCCTGGAGAACGTGATCCGGGACGCCGTCACCTACACGGAGCACGCCAAACGCAAGACCGTCACGGCCATGGACGTGGTCTACGCGCTCAAGCGCCAGGGCCGCACTCTTTACGGCTTCGGAGGCTAGAGGAAGACTTAAATCATCCCATTCTTCAAAGGCCCTTCTAAGGGCCGCCCACGAAATCTGTGAAAGAGCTGTAGGCAATTGATTACAATCTTTGCTTTCCAAAAGTAACTCAGTTTCGGTAGTTACCTTAGTAGCATAACTTTTAAAGTGTTGCTAAGCCTCAGCGGCCTGCCCCCAACATTACAGTCACCTAGTAGTTGAAAGTGGCAGACTTTCTGGCAGACGGTTTTGCAAAGGTTTCAGTGAAGCAGCCGGACTCATTTAATCGGTTTCTTTAACGACAACCGAAAGGGCTGAGTACCTTTGTGTCCGCAGTGTCTGAAGCACTTCAATACGGTCCTTTAAAACTTGCCTACGTGCGCTCAAACTTGACATGTACTGGCAAGCTACGTAGCTCGAATTTCAAACTTGGGTGCTCCCGTCTACAAATAGTTTAGTCCGTTACTGTTCACATTAAGATTGTTTTCTCAATCCAATCATGACATTCAAAGTAGTGCAAGACTGGCCCGGCGCGGTGGCTCACGCCTACAATCCCAGCACTTTGAGAGGCCAACGTGGGAGGATTGCCTGAGCTCACGGGTTCCAGACCAGCCTGGGCAGCTTGGCGAGACCTCATCTCTACAATAAATAAAAAAATTAGCCGGGCATGGTGGCACATGCCTGTAGTTTCAGCTACTTGGAAGGCTGAGGCTGAAGGATCGCCTCAGCCCAGTAGGTCGAGGCTGCGGTGGCTGTGAGCGTGCCACTGCCCTCCACCCTGGGCGACAGAGTGAGACTCCAACTCAAAAAATAAAATAAAAATAAAATAGTGGAAGACAATAGGAGATTTTCAATCCAACATTTTTACAGCATTTTGTTGCATGAAAATCTTAAAGCAGTAAGATCTTTTCTACGTTCCTTGGAGACCAAAGTAGAGGTGGAAAATGTTTCCCTTTCATTAGAGGATTAAACTGGGAACCAATTCCGTGGGTGAGATAAGAAACGCAACAGTCCATTGTCCAATCAGAACGCGAGGGTCGCTATAAGTACTGGTACGACTCGCTGGTGTCCCCATTCGTGTTGAGTAGTCGGGCCTATTTAGTCATGGCCAGAACTAAGCAAACTGCTCGGAAGTCCACGGGTGGCAAGGCGCCACGCAAGCAGCTGGCTACCAAAGCGGCTCGCAAGAGCGCCCCGGCCACCGGCGGCGTGAAGAAGCCCCACCGCTACCGGCCCGGTACCGTGGCCCTGCGCGAGATCCGCCGCTACCAGAAGTCCACCGAGCTGCTGATCCGCAAACTGCCGTTTCAGCGTCTGGTGCGCGAGATCGCGCAGGACTTCAAGACCGACCTGCGCTTCCAGAGCTCCGCCGTGATGGCGCTGCAGGAAGCTTGCGAGGCCTACCTGGTGGGGCTCTTCGAGGACACCAACCTGTGCGCTATCCACGCCAAGCGCGTCACTATCATGCCCAAGGACATCCAGCTTGCGCGCCGCATCCGCGGCGAAAGGGCATAAGCTTTGCTCTATTGGCCCAATGTGTACTGCATCCCAAAAGGCTCTTTTTAGAGCCCCTCAATTGTCACCAAGAAGGAGCTGTTAACTGGTAGAACACAGGTCCTATCCCCACGTCACACAGGTTCCGTGGACCAGATAGTTAAGAACTCAACTGTGTGCGCTGAGAGGTTTACAAACTAGTCAGGTGGTGTGCTAACTTAGTTTCATTACATGGAGACATACTGGTCAAACAGTGGAGAACGGTGAGACACTACTCTTTCAGAAATTAAGCACCCTTGGCGACGCAAAATGGCTGAAACAAGACTGATCAGGTTGTAGTAGTTTCTGTGGGTGATTATGCATATATTTAATTCTGCCACAAAGTATTCCAGCTTATATTTGATAAATGTGGGGTTTTTTTGCTTGTCTGTCATTAAGGAACACAATAACTCATGAATGTTAAAGAAAAGAAAAACCTGTTAACATGGGAGCTAAAAACTGCACATGGTTGTAGAGTGTTAGATAAAAAAGTCTTGAAAAGGTGAGGGGACGAATGATGAGAAATTACCTAATAGTAGTTCGGGTGACAGATAATCTATAAACCATGACTTGACTAGTATGTAACTAACAATTGCACCTGCACCTCATAAATTTACACAAATGAGTAGCAACAACACAAAGTTTACCTTTTTTCTGTTGCAATGCAAATAAGAGTTTTGACTAAAAAAAAAAAAAAAAAAGAAAAAATCCTTAACTTTTTTTTGTTCTGTTTCAATGTAATGTTTAGCAAGCCATGTTAAGTCCTAAGCCTCTGAAGACCTGGATTCTTTACCTTACTGTAGGCTGTCATCTACAAAATGAACCTCTAGTTTTGTGACTCTACCTTGAATATTCACCCTAGGCATTTCATAATGTGTTATTGTCTGTGAAGTTGATTTTCCTAATTTTTTTTAAAATAGAGACATGGATAGAATTAAATCTCAGATGGCATTCTAAAGCTGTTCCTGGTGTCTAACCAATTCTGTCAAATATTTTCAGTAGTTTAAATAGAGTTTTCTCATTGCTCTTCATATGACTATTATTACTTTATTTTACTTTTTACCCTTTTGGGGGTATACGTCTTGATGCTAGGATATGGCAAAGTTGTGTGAAATTATTATTATTGTTTTTTTCTGAGTGTTCTCAAGCAGATTAGTCACTGGGCCTTCCCTTCTTTTTCCCTATTCCTGAATTTACTCTTCTAAAGAGGCTTATATCCCAGCAACTGGCTCCTTCTAATGCTTTTTGGAAACTCTGGGATTTGATTCAGGGAGAGAGAGAGAGGACAAAAATAGTTCTGACCAGTGGAGCAAGAAGCTTCTTCCTACAATTAATTTAGAGCTCCTTTGGGGACTGTCTGCTAGATGCTGGGGCAACTTGATGCTGCCTCTCCCAAGTTTCAAAAATAATCCTCTTCCCAACCGTTCTAGGATTTTCTCACCAAATAGAACCAAGGCTATGTGTCTAGGTTTAAATCCCAGAGCCGCTGGTTATTAGCTGTATAAACTTTGGCAAATTATTCATTCTAAGTATCAGGTGACACAGCTGTAAAATGCAAAATGAATTAAAACCTGTAGAGCATATTTGAAATTATTTCTGGACACTTAGTAGATGAAAAATGAATATTAGCTCTTACTGTTTTAACCCTTCCCCCTTAGGCATGGAGTGTTGGGGGTTTTCTCCCAGATCTTTTGAAAGCTTTGTGTTTGGAAAGGTAGAAAGTGCTCGGTTAGAACAGTTCTAAAGGAGTGAAGACATTTTCTTTCATCCTCAGTTTTTGTTGTTCTGAAAGAGACCTGTAGCAATATTCCTGTCTGTGTGGAGATGTTCACAACACAGCAAAAGGGTCAAGGTAGTAAACAGTTAGGTTTTAAAGGCCATATGTAGTGCTTATCACATATTATTTTTGTTTTTCACAATATTTTTAAAAAGTAAAGACATTCCTTGGTTTGAGGGCCATACAAAAGCAGACCACTGTCCAGATTTGGCCATAGTTTGCCAGCCTAAGAGCTTCTGGAGTGAAGATGAGGTGTTTTAGCTATTTTAAATTTTCATGCACAGCATTTCAGGGGCAAGAACTAAGTGGCTAACTTCATTGGAGATAGGGGTCATCACCTGATCTCCTTTATCATTCAGGCACAAAATCCTGCCCACTACCCTCTGGCTCCCATAAATACCAAACTTCACATCCCTCAAGACACAATCCAATCTTTTCACAATAAGTAGTCAGATATTCTAAAATACGAGTCTGTGCTTAAACACACAAAAATACCCATATTGATCAATCCTGACTGCTTATAGAAAAGAGCATTTCTAATGATGCAGCTTGTTAAATAAATGCTGATAGAAATGTCAGTGGGAGCAGTGAGAAGAACATCTTGCAAACGCAGGCCATCTAAACAGTTTGTGCATTTAAGCCACCCTTGAATAATTTGGGGCAGATTTGAGAAGTTTTTTCTAAATTTAGTTGCTTATAAGTATTTATCTCCCCTATTTTAAAGGTTTTCCCCAGGAACTATGGGAAGCACCTCAGTAAGAAAACACCAAATTTAAATTTGGATTGGTGGTTGGACTCTGAATTCAAAGCTATTTGTATTTCTCCTTAATGCAATGTGGAAGAAGTCACTCTGACAACTAAATTTTTCTAAGCTGCAAAATCCTATGCCCTAAAGACATCAGCACTTTAGAAACTCCTAGTAAACAATCCGTTTTTAAAGTATGTCTATGTTGTTAATGTAGGGCGGTAGGCCACTAGCCACCGGTGCCTGTGTTACTTGCTACAGTTAGAAACAAAGGTTATGCCCAAACTAGGGAACCTAGTATCCATTCTCTTGCAAAAATGAAAGGCCCAACCCACAGATAAATCCTTTTAAGTAACTTTCACTGGATACTTAGTAGACATTTATTGTAACATGCAACTAATACACATCATGCCTTCAGCCCAGTGGATTCTTGTAATAAATTGAAGAGATTTTTCAAATTATCTTTCATCAATTGCTCGAGATTCGTGAAAACACAAATAAGTATGGGAACCTGGAGGTTGTTTTCCTCCTTTGGAACTTCAAAGTGGCAAATTCTATATTGTTGTTTAAAGCATTTAATCAAATTTTGGGAACTAACAAACACAATTTGGAAATCCAACCGCGAGCGGCAGCGGCCCGAGGGCGGTGGATTGGACGCTCCACCAATCACAGGGCAGCGCCGGCTTATATAAGTCCCAGGCCCGAGCACCGCAGCATTGCAAAACTTGCTCTTTGGGTTTCGACTCCTTTCTCCTCTAGCAGTTTCTTACCGCCATGTCGGAAACCGCTCCAGCTGAGACGGCCGCCCCTGCGCCGGTGGAGAAGTCCCCGGCTAAGAAGAAAGCAACTAAGAAGGCGGCGGGCGCGGCTAAGCGCAAGGCGACAGGGCCCCCTGTCTCAGAGCTGATCACAAAGGCTGTGGCCGCCTCTAAGGAGCGCAATGGCCTTTCTTTGGCGGCGCTTAAGAAAGCGCTGGCAGCTGGGGGCTACGACGTGGAGAAGAACAACAGCCGCATCAAGCTTGGTCTTAAGAGCTTGGTGAGCAAGGGCACCTTGGTGCAGACGAAGGGCACCGGCGCTTCCGGCTCCTTCAAGCTCAACAAGAAGGCGGCCTCTGGGGAAGTCAAGCCCAAGGCCAAGAAAGCGGGCGCAACCAAAGCGAAGAAGCCCGCGGGGGCCACCCCGAAGAAGCCCAAGAAAGCTGCTGGGGCGAAAAAGGCAGTGAAGAGGACTCCCAAAAAAGCTAAGAAGCCCGCGGCGGCTGGCGTCAAGAAAGTGGCGAAGAGCCCCAAGAAGGCCAAGGCAGCTGCCAAGCCGAAGAAGGCGGCCAAAAGCCCTGCCAAGCCTAAAGCAGTCAAGCCGAAGGCGGCCAAGCCGAAAGCGGCCAAGCCCAAAGCAGCAAAGCCTAAAGCTGCTAAGGCTAAGAAGGCGGCCCCCAAGAAGAAGTAGGAAGTTGGCGTGTAAGCCCGCAACCAAAGCCCCAAAGGCTCTTTTCAGAGCCACCCTAAAAATCTCTGAAAAAACAGCTGTACACGAAATAAGATATGCCTTACCTCGGGTCCAAACCCCGTAAAAAGGGAGTCCGGGGAAGGAGAGGTAGGGGGTAGATGATGATGCCCTGCTAGGTTGTTTGCAGGGGCGTGACACGGGCTCAGGGGCAGGTTTTAAATATCCGCGCCGTGCTCCGATTGGGGCATTCTTTTGTCCTGTTTGCAGATCAACTTCGGGAAGTTTGCACACTTCCAGTTCTGCAAATGGCACCTAAAGGCCGCAAGGTGGCATGCGATTTAAAATACCATTAAACCAGTGACTTCTAGCTCTTCTGCTTGAAATAGTAAGGTGGCTCTGAAAAGAGCCGTTGGGTTTGGAAGATGGTGCTACACTACACATTACTTGCCCTTGGCCTTGTGGTGACTCTCCGTCTTCTTGGGCAAGAGCACGGCCTGGATGTTGGGCAGAACACCGCCCTGCGCGATGGTGACTTTGCCCAGCAACTTGTTGAGCTCCTCGTCGTTGCGGATGGCCAGCTGCAGGTGGCGCGGGATGATGCGCGTCTTCTTGTTGTCGCGGGCCGCGTTGCCCGCCAGCTCCAGGATCTCGGCGGTCAGGTACTCCAGCACCGCCGCCAGGTACACCGGCGCGCCGGCGCCGACCCGCTCGGCATAGTTGCCCTTGCGGAGCAGGCGGTGCACACGGCCCACGGGGAACTGGAGACCAGCCCGCGAAGAGCGGGTTTTGGCTTTGGCGCGAGCTTTACCACCTTGCTTGCCGCGTCCAGACATGTCAGCAAACTTATCGTTGGTGTGAGTAAAACCTAAATTCAATCAGCCAGAGTGCCACTACTTATAGTCGATACAGAGCGCGAAAATAGAGCTATGCTATTGGCTAAAATTTGTTTTTCTTCAGTCAATGGAATCGAGGTTTTAAATACACTTATGCTGATTGGACAAAGTTAACATATGACGTTTCCAGGACTCACCACTTAGACACCCAAGTTGACTCTACCTCCTTTGCTTAAACTGTGAGTAAACTTACATACTCAACTCTTCCTGTTCTCGAACTCTTCGACAGTACTCTCAAACATGCCTGAGCCCTCAAAGGTCCACTACTTGCTTCTTAACTTCTGGAAAAGATGCATTGTGTCCTTAATGGTGTTTCCAATATTATCTGCTACAAGCGTTTTATGTTTCAAGTGGCAAACATCCAAAACAGCAGTTTTATTATGCGTATTTCAGTTAACATCCACACTCAAATTCGATGCTGAGACTCACCTGTTGAGCAAGTTAAGTTAGTGGCTAGAAAACTTCCAAGGTTCTTTAAGGTAAAAAAATAAAAATTAAAAAATGACAACTCTTATCAACCCCTAATGAGAATCATTAGCTGACCCAGTAGAATGCTCAATGGATTCCAGGTAGTCCAGGTAGTTTTCAGATTTTCTTTTGGAACGTAAATGCTGGGAATATACTTTCTTGCTATTTCCACTATAGGCCTAATTTGCACAGAATGGACTAACCTTATAGAGATAGAGAAAGAGGAAAGAAAAAAGTTAGAACCAATGTAAATCACCTCTTCCCACCAGTTAGGGACGAGATTTGGATCCTTCCTGGCGAATCCGGATGTTATGCAGGTGAATGGGATTTTTCTACTAGTTACTTCCTTTACATTTGTCCTAGGTAAACCAAGGTACTCCGCACTTCTCCCCACCTGCACATCTTCATCTTCATGTTTTCACTCACTTTTAATGTTTCACCACTTTTAATGTTCCACCACTTTAACGTATCATGGCATTTCTGTTTACTATTATTTTCACATAGTCAGAATTGGTTAAGAGTTTAGAATGTAGGTCAGTTTTTTTCCTGAATAAGTTCTACATTTCATCTCTTATTTTTCCCTTGCTGATTTTTTCTGTAATAAGGGTGGGAGGGGATTCTAAACAAAACAGCAATCTTTTTCAAAAGTGGAGAAGGGAGAGTAGCGGGAAGGTATTTTCTCCAGGAGAGAAGTGTAGTCTCATTGCTTAGGCTAGCAGAGCTGTTTTGCCTTTAACAGTATAACCAATGTGGAAATACAAATTCCAAGCATTTTACAGGCTGTCAGATCTTAAAATCTAACCCCTTTGTTGTTTTTCTAGGTATTAATCAATCTTTTCTCATTAAAAGGCTGGGCATCTTAGATGGGCCTGTGATAATAAAAATTACAAAATTTGGGCTGAATTTGTGAGCTCAGAGACCAATGGGCTAAGAATTAAGCAGCCAAGTGTGTAAACAAAGCCAAATACTGTCCCCTCCAGCTTCCAAAATGTTGCTGGGAACACACACAGAAGTCTATTTCTTTACTATATCAACCAACATTATTTAATCTGATATCAATATTGTTAATGACACAGTCAAGAAATTGACTATTAGGCTCACAAAGGTACGATGATCTCCTGGAATGTGCCTTATAGCTGTTCTCTTTTTCTGTGAAGTCACTGTTGGTCCACCATCCAAATCCTATCTATCCTTCAAAGCCAATCCCAAGTCTTACTTCCTCTGAAGATTTTTAATGATTATTCCACTTTGCATTGTTTTCTCTTCTTGAAGCCTTCAGAGTTTCTTTCTTCCTGTTTGAACTTTTCCCACACACCTATATCCTGCCTATGTAAAAGCAGGGACCTTACTGTCATTCCTGTACCTTTGCACTTTCATCTTCTTTAAACCCAAGAACCTCAAAAGTGAATTTTTTTTTTCTAGGCAGTGTTCTCCTTAGTCTTTAATATTTTTGTTTTGTAATCCATTTGTAACTAACATTGTCTGTCTTCTCTTTTATGGTTGGCCTATGGGATCTATGCTGATACTACTTCAAGAGGTCCACTTCAAGAGGTCAAGTGATTTCTTTGAAACTTAGTTTCAATATTGTGAATTAAAGATAACAACAATTCATAGTCATTTGATTGTTGTGAGGGTCAGTAAGAATGCTTTGTGAATTGTGGATTACTACACGTTTTGCATTAAAGAGGAATCTTACATATTTATTTGGTATTAAGACTTAGGACACCCTCACCTACTCATCAAACTGAATCACAAAGGTCAGTCCATCCAGCATTGACTATAGTTATTTTCCCCCATTTCATATTTTATCTCAGTAGATATTTGTTGAGCACATGCTATGTGCCAGAATCTCTTCTAAGTGTCAGAAATATTACAGTGACCTAAACAGGCAAAAAGTCATGCACTGACAAAATTTATTTTCTAATAGAAGACAAATACTTTTTGTTTTCTTAAAGCAGGATTTATTGAGAAGACAGAAAATCTCCCACAGTGGGAGGGGACCCCAGGGGGTTGCTCACAAACACATTTTTAAAAGTGTGTCAGAGAATATTAAATGTTTGGAAGGAAAACAAAGCAGAAAAGCTTTGTATTTCTCATTTTAAATAAAATTAAAGAAAATTCATCAAGAAGATTAAATTTAATCAAAGATAAGGAGATGAAGGACTGGTCTTTAGGGAAGATTATTGTAGGCAGAATAAAGAATAAGCAAGCAGAGTCCCTGAGATTTTCAGAGAGGGAGAGATACTTGATGTTAGTCAAGGAACAGCAAGGTGGTCAATGTGGCTGGAACTGAGGGAGCAAGGAGAAAAGTAACTGGGAGTGAAGCAACAGAAATGGGGAGGAAGCTTTCAGAATGTATAGGGTCTTATATAAAATTATAATGACTTTGGATGGTAGTGTAATATATTTCAAATTCTTAGTAGCTATAGAAAGTTGTGGGTGTTCTATGATCAGCTGTACTTATTTCAACCCATAACCCTAGTCTTTAAAGACACAATATGAAGGCACTCCATGTGTAAGTGTCATTTTACTTCTCTGCTCTCAACAGTTGCTTTTTGTTCCAGAAAAGTCCCTTCTCCACAACCTCCACAAATGACTGTGGGAGAATCATCAATTTGCTTCCAGTTGAGGGAGGGGGGCATCAGAAACCCCACAAACTTGAAATTGTGACAAATAAGAATGTCTCAAATATTAAAGTGATGCCCGCCATTTGACACGTGTCCACTCCTGAATTTAAGTCTTCTGATACTTCTATGGATTTGCAGCTATTTCCACCTGTGTCTCAGGTCAAGAGAGCAAAATCTTGACTCCTCTTTAGTGGTCCATTTTCCATATAATTAGGTAATAATCAAATGGTCCTTTCAATTGTATGCCAATTTTATATCCCCCATGTCTCATTCCTCTTTCAAGCAATGGTTCTCAACTTTAATCGTACATCAGAATTGCTGGTAGAACTTTGGGGGGAAAAATACCATTACCTAGTCCCTACTCCAGAGATTCTGATTTAATTGACCAAGGATGGGGTCTGAACCAGGTAATACTATAGCTGGGAGGGTTGAAAGACACATTATTCTGTGCCAACTGTAGGAAGCAGTCTCCAAGATTGTAACAAGTGACACGTCTTCTGGTATTTGTGCCTTTGTGTAGCCATTGCACATTTTACCAGGGTTGGTTAATAGTCTCAGTTCATCTTATTAGGAAGGTGATGGCTTGCAATAGCCTTTTGAGACTGCTATCATTCCACACCTATTTTATGCATTAACAAACTAATAAACAGAGCCCACCCAGATAATTATTATGTGCATTGGGTATCATATGAGGGAAAAATAAATACCCTTAGCTCCAGTGATATTTAGAAGCTTACAGACCCTCTGCATAGGGGACAGAAGAGGAATATAGACAACTTAGGAGAAAGTAAGTGATTTTTGGAAAGATGAGTGGGCTCTCTGAAGAACAGATGACTGCATGTGACAAACTTTGTGTAGAATTGACTTCCAGTCTCCTCTTCTGTGATAAGAATTCATCTTTCCTTATTAATGAGATTCCTAGGGAAAGGATTCATGACAGTGGATTTCCTTTTGGAGGGTCTGTCTATAGGCAGGTAAAAGGAGATCAGAGAAAGCCCCACCCTGCATTTGCTCTCCCCCAGTCGCCTTCAGTGTGACATCTAAAGTAACATATTTTGAGGTGACATTTCCTGAACTTCTTCAAAAGTGACAGGCAGCTATCAAGTCAAAGAAGTATCAAGAAGCTATCACAATAAAGGTAGAGCAAGAATCAGACAAAGAAAACCCAGAATATTTTTCTGAAATAAGGAAAATCTCCACATACTATTATGGAATGATCTTCAGGATATATGTTAAGAATACATACATAGCCGGGCTCGGAGGCTCAGCCTGTAATCCCGCGCCTTTGGGAGGCTGAGGTGAGTGGATTGCCTGAGCCCGCGGGTTTGAGACCCGCCTGGGCAGCAAGACCTCATCTCTACAATAAATCAAAAAATCAGCCGGGCGTGGTAGTGCATGCCTGTAATTCCGGCTACTCAGAAGGCTGAGGCGGAAGGATCGCTGGAACCCAGCAGATGAGGCTGCGGTGACTGGGAGCGGCCACTGCACTCCAGTCTGGGCAACAGAGTGAGACTCCAACTCAAAAAAAAAAAAAAAAAAAAAAAAAAGAATACATACATACATACACATGTAATGATAAAACCAAATATTTTTAGTTATTTAGCGCAATCTCTAAACATCAACAGCAAAATTAAGTAAATGGATCTGTATGTCCAGATGGTTGCATAAGCGAGCAGAAAGGGATATTCCAAATAATTTGAAAAACAGTCATTTGACTATCCCTGATGTGATATACCCTAAGGAAGCACTTCTCAAACCTTTCTGTGTCCCGCCCCACTTGGAGTCTTAAAAAGTAATGAGGATTCAAAGTTTGTGTTTCTCTAGGTTTAATTATTGACATATTGAATTAACT